TTTTTCAAGAGAGGAAAAATTAAATACTTACAATAAAATCCGAAATTATTCCCAAAATTCTTATAACAGATCAAAAGAGTTAAGAAATGTGAAATAGTAAGCAACAGACAAAAGATACCAATTATGAATATGGTCGTATAATCAGTGACATATTTAATTCTATTTTCAAACTTGCATCTACCAAATTCATTGGAATTAAATAAATCGTCAGGGCACCATACGATTAACCTATATAAAATACTTCCAATTTCCAAAATGTTGATTAGTAATAAAATATTCAACATCCATCTTAATTCTTCTCTTATCTATTTAAAAGTTAAAATGCACTCGAGTTAGCATAATATTCCATCTCACATGATCCCATATACTGATTGTATACTTACAGCTCGAAGTATGAATCCCAGCGAAAGCAAATATATTATTTGATCGGGAATGTATACGGGCCAAACCGAGTATTTTTTTTCTATTCCAAATGATTTTGCATTATAATTAAACCAGCTTACTTCTTTTAACCACGTAAAGTAAGCCCATCCTCCAACAATTATGAAATTTGCATGCATTAAAACCAATTGATATTGATAAACTTTATACATTTCTAAGAAAAAAAAAAAATCAATAAAATTTGATAACTTTAAAAAGATTTTCTTGGTATGCTTACTATTAATATTTTTCTTTTTTGTAATTTTCATGTCTCTCGTCGTAGTCCAAATTCTAACCCCAAAAAAAAGTAAGATTTCGAAAAAGTTTTCAAAAAAACAATTAAAAATTCACTTACTTGTAATGCCAAAGTAAATAAATTAAAATACAATAAATTATAACAAATGTGGCATGAAGAATCGACCCAAACAAAAAATCTTTACTATAGCCACGAACATAACAATGATGCTCACTTTTATTACACAAGTTAGCAAAAATAACATATGGTATAAATAATAGTATATTCATCACTATGTGTACAATTCCGTGCAAGACTGATCTTTCCCATATCTATAATTTTTTTTTTTTTTTTTAAAAAAAAAAACTTTTTTATAATAACCAATAAAAATCAAAAATAAAAACATGGGCTTTGGCACTTACAATAATAATCGAAGAACAAATTGGAATCAATACAAGTAAAGGAATTAGAATATAAATAGCTATTGAATTATCATGACTTAACGAATGTATCATAGTAATGATACCGATGATAAAATATAAACTTGAATGAATGATACATGCTATTATGAGGATTTTTTCGTGCTTGGTATATCGAGGAAAAAAGGATATAGACGAAAAAATTTTATGCATTTGGAAATCAATTTTCCTTAGGAACGGCACCGTTTCGGTATTTATATTTTTGTGGAAATACCTGTTATTTTAGCCAAGCCATGAGACCAGACCAAGCCTGAATAAAGGTTACCGCGGAAAAATTTTTTTCCAAATTGACTGCGGATTCGCAAAAATCAAAATTTTTTTTTTTTACAAAAAAAAAAATATATTTCGCCCGCCAATGGTATTCATCCATGCAAGTGATCTATAATTACACGAAAAGAGCCGTATATATCATACATCGTTGGAACAAAACATCATTCCTATTGCGACGTCTTGTGTAAATGTTCATTTTTCTTCAAAATCTTGGCAAAGTAACATTTCTGGTAATGCATTCATTTATTTTTAACGAATATGGTGCGATTACATGCGTGTTTACATGGCTAATGATCCGGTGATTTGACGCAAGTACAGAAAATCATGAATTCGGGTTGTTAATAATTAAATATTTCCTCGATTGGCCACAACAATAAGAAAGTACGTTTTCGGTGGTTTTGACTTAATGCATAAATGTATAGCGCTTCTCGGGGATCGTTATAGTGTGTCATAAGCATTAAATTTGAGTGCCCAAATAGGGACTGAGTGAATAAATAAAATATCTATAAAAATTTTTTTTTTTTTTGTTTTTAGAAAAATGAATACATATAAAATTATAAAATTAATAAGTTTATATTATAAATAATATTAATACAATAAATATAAAAATATATAAAGTAATTAATTGTTTATGCAGAATATTTATAACGGTACTTTTTATTTTTTTCAATATTCGAATTGGTTTTTTATTATTATCTTAATATATGTATTTATTTTTATTTTATTTTCTCATGATTCAATAAACTTCCGTAATATCGCGTATTGCCTCTTGAAAATTCTTTCTGCTTTTCCCATTATAAATTTTCGATTTTTCCTTGACGTGTTACTGTGACGCAGTTTAAACTTTTTCGTAATCTTTTTATTCTTATTTATGCTAAATGTATCTACTATATAATTTTTTTAACGTAATCTCGTATATTGAATATTGAGAGAGACAAATTTCTATATAAATTAATTAAAAATCCGCGTTTAGAAAAATATTTTTTTTATTTTTTTTATTTTCAAAATTTCCTTTTTAGCAAATTTTTCCATAATTGTTTTTTTATAAAGGATATTTTTTGTCCACGAGATCTTCTTAGTAATTTCGAGAAAAGTGCGAAGGACGTAGAAGGTGCAATGACCACAAATTGATAATTCGTGACATTTTTTCAGTTCCTACAATGGCATGAGGTCCGCCATCAATGCGCAAGCTCTACAGGTAATCAATAGGAATAAACCGGCTATAACTTTGAGTAAGCTTCAGATGCACTTTTCGTGAATCACTAAGTAATTTTCTGGTTACAGTAAATTACATAAATCATGCCTTTGTTTTTTTGAAACTTAGCAATTACAAATTATTCATTCAATATATTCTATACTAATTTGTAGAAGTTTATCTTTACAACTAAATCAGTTTATTATAATAAATTCACATCCCCAAACTACATGATTTGACATTTAAAAAGAATTGATGATATAAAATGAAAATAAAATAAATAAACATATCAAATGAAGAATAATAATAAAGGAGTAGTTGGATTCAACAAAATCGAATAAAATAAAGAGAGGTTTACTTCCAAAAGACGAATTGTCTATTATAAAACATTGCGATGAATCAGTTAATCCATATATTTATTTACAAATAAAAAGAAAACTGAGTAAACTAATTCGATTACAGGAACCTTCATTAAATTTAAACCATCTTATTTCAATGAAAGTTTAGGATGTTTTGGATGTTTTAGTAAGCTGGAGCTTGTGGGTCTCTTCTATGAAGTAAATCACTTCCGTGTGGTGCAGCATTGGAAACTGCAGTATATATATATTTTTTAAAGATAATAACAAAGATAAAGCATAAGAGAACTTCATTTTAATTTTTTGAGTATAATCAAATTTTTAAAGAATATTTAAATTATTTAAATTTTTTGAAGGAATTAGTCGATGAAGTGAAATTATATAAGAAATTGTAAGCAAAGTTAAAGAAGTAAATGTAGGGATTCATTAAAGACGGCGTAAAAATGTATTTTTAGAATTTCCAATTGTTTGTATCAAGCCTAGACGTAAAATAAATACAGACTTTGATAATTCCCTTATTAGAAAGAAATTCCAATATCACGCACGTCGAATGTAATGATATAGAAAAAATTTATTATTCCTAGACAGCCTTATATTTGTCTGCGCCTAGGATTTTCTAATTAATCTGGAGCGTAACATAGGACTATTAACTACAAGACAGTGTAATACAAGTAACACAAGATTTCCGTCTATTCCCCCACTCTTTGAGTCGATATTTATAGGCACGCATTTGCTTCGCTGCCGATCAGCAGCATAGATATAAATCGTTAATGTTACACTGTCGATCATTTGTAGATCCTATATATACTATATATTAAGATTCAATTACATCATATGTAGGCGGTAGTCACACCACTTCCTAATAAACAATAAAAATTTTTTCTAAATCTTTGGCTTCTTGTGCATCAGAATCAAGTGTCTGATCTTGTTAAATATAAAAAATAAATGAGAACAAAAAAGCTTCAGGGCCTATATATTGCAAGACTGTAGCTAATATGAAATACTGTTCAGTTATAGAATTAGGATTAAACAAAGCTCGTACTAATAAAACTAACATGTTTAACTTGAAATTAGGTGATGTAATTTGTTATAATTGCTATATGAATATAGTGGAATAGGATCGATATGAAAAGCAAAAGTCTAAATGCAGTAAAAAATCTAATAAAGAAAACTTTAATTATAATATGACTAGTCAAAAACGTGTCACAATGTCTCAAAAAAATTATGAAGACTTTTTAAAAAGCAAAGAGAGTTGAGGAACAGGAAGAGCATATAATTTAATTAGGAGCTGCACTAGAACAAGCTCTAAGTTAGTATATCAAATGTGTATTCAGTTATTTTAAAATATTTATTTATATTGTTTATTTATTATATTAATTTTACAATTATTAGAAAATCTGCCTTTTGCTGAGTTTTTTAATGATAAGATTAAGCGTCTTACATCTGTATTATATATACTACAACATCAAGAAAAACAAAAGCTATTTACGAATTCAGAAGAATTTATTAAAATTATTGAAGCACAAGATCTAGAATTACAAGGATTTTTGATATTTTATATAGATCAATAAATCCTATAGCAAAAAATAAATTTACAAGACAGCATTTATAAATAAAAGTAATGTTTATATGCTACCAAATGGCTGCTTTACGTTGTGACGGGTAAAATTTTAGATAGATTTAATTGGTAGAATATTAAGTCCATTTTATTGCCATGTAGATCTTCTA